TCTTAATAAAACGTGGGACAACTCTTACTCGTTTTATTATTAAATTAACATAACCTCACATTACTCATCTCTTATTTAACTATATGTTTACATATGCATACATGTGTATGTGGTTGCCTAACACCCTTCCTTAAACATATATTACTGTTAATCATTAACATTTCAAAAAAAACTTAACATATTCCAAAACAATTGTTACAAAAAATAAATTTTGGCCTGAAGAGGGGTTTGGTGAGACTGTCTGCTGCCATTTCATCGGTATTTATATGTCGGATAGTTAGTTCCTTCTGATCGATTTTTTCGCGTATGAAATGGTGGCGAACATCAATGTGTTTCGACCTCTGTCGACAGCCACTTGTTTTCGCTAAATCTATAGCTCCTTTGTTATCGCAGTAGATGATAGTTTCTTCTTTGGCATAATCTGGGTCTAGTTCTGATATTAGTGATTTTAACCAGATTCCTTCTTGACATGCAGAACTTAAACTCATATATTCTGCTTCGGTGGTGGAAAGAGCGACTGTATTTTGTTTTTTTGTGGACCAAGAAACTGCTGCTCCTTGCATTTTAAATATGTATCCAGTGATGCTCTTTCTGTCCGAGTGGTTCGCCCAATCAGCGTCGCTGTATCCTTCCAAAAACTGATCTGAACTCTTATTGAAAGTTAATTTTAATTCAGTTGTTCCTTTCAAATATCTAAAAATTCGTTTAACTGCATTCCAATGTGGTAGTCCAGGATTGTTACAAAATCTGCTGACCAGATTCGTCGCATAGCTTATGTCTGGCCTGCTGACCTGACAAAGGAAGAATAAAGCTCCTATAGCTTGTCTATATGGTATCTTCGCCATAGCTTCTTTCTCTTTCACACTGCTTGGACTCATTTCATCATTTAGCTTTTGGTTTGGGTCGCAAGGCGTAGCGGTTGGATTACAATCCTCCATATTGAATCTTTCAAGAATTCTTCGGATGTAACCAGTCTGATCGATAGAAACAGAATTCCTGTTCCTGGTTATTCGCATACCTAATATGTTACTGGCCTTTCCCAGGTCCTTTATTTTGAAGTGTTCCTGTAGTTCAATCTTACATTTCTTGATTTTTCCTTCATCATTTGCTAGGATCATTATATCGTCAACATAAATTGCAATTATAATCATGTTATCGCCTGACCCTTTATAAAAAATGCATTGATCGGTGTTTGACTTGTTGTAACCCAAGTTATTCAAAACATCAGATAACTTCTTATTCCAAGCTCTCTCACTTTGTTTTAATCCGTACATTGCTTTCTTTAATTTTAGTGCTTTATGTTCATTTTTCGTTGATCTTAGAAATTCTGGAAATTCGATGTAGATATCTTCATCTAACGGTCCTTGGAGGTATGCTGTCGTTACGTCTACATGATGCACTGACAAATCATATTTAACAGCCAAGGAGAGTAAATATCGGATCGAGTTGTATCTTACGACGGGTGAATATGTTTCGGTATAATCGATGCCTTCTATTTGATTGCACCCTTTTACAACTAGTCTCGCTTTATATCTTTCTATTTTACCATCAGGATTCCTTTTTATCTTCAATACCCATCTTATTTTTAGTAATTTTCTGTCATCTGGTGGTTTCACTTCATCCCATGTTTGATTTTCTAATAAGGAATTGATTTCTTCTTTCATTGCTTCTGACCATTGTTCCTTATTTGATCCTTTTAGTGCTTCTTCAACAGTACTGGGTTCACCATCCTGCCTTAAGGAGAAATATGTAACAAAGTCTTCCATAAGCTTTGGTTTGGGTTGTCTACTAGACCTTCGAACTTCGTGTACTTTGACTTGTGCCTGGTCCTCCGAGTCGTCTTTCGATACTTGATTTGGTGTATATGACTCGTCCGTTTCTTCTCTTTCTTCTTCCGTTTCACTATTTTCCGCGTTGACCTCATTCTGTCCTTCCTCTTCTTCCTTTTCTTGTTGGAATGTTATCTTCATTGGTAACCTCTGATCCGAATTTTCTGGATGTTTTCCATTTTCTAAGAAAATCACATCTCGGCTTTTTGTTATCTTCCGTGTGACAGGGTTAATAAGTCTATAACCTTTGGTTTCTTCACAATAACCCATGAAGATCAATTCTTCAGACTTTGGGTCCCATTTTTGACGCTTTTCTTTCGGTATATAAACCATAGCAGGACAACCAAAAACTCGTAAATTCGACAGATCTGGCAACGTTCCTGACCATAATTCTTCTGGTGTACGGCCTGTGGCGAAAGCGGGTGATCTATTTATTAGATAGACTGCCGTATTTACTGCTTCAGCCCAATACTTTGTAGGTAATTTGGCAGCTATCAGCATTGACCTGGCTCGTTCTACGATGGTACGATTCATCCTTTCGGCAAGACCATTTTGTTGAGGGCTGTATGGTACTGTAGTTTGATGTCGGATACCAGCCTTCTGCAACAAATTTCTTAAATCATGGTTTACGTATTCCTTACCGTTATCACTGCGAAGAGTTTTTATTTACTTGTTAGTTTGATTCTCGACCATAGTTTTGAATTCTGAAAATACTTCTTTAACTTGGTATTTGCCCTTTAAGAAATAAACAAACACCTTTCTTGAATGATCGTCTATTAGGGTTAGGAAATATTTTGCTCCGCCAATTGAGGTTTCTTCCATGGGACCACATAAATCAGAATGGATTAAGTTCAGTATGCTATTTGAACGTTTCCCACTAAAACTGAAAGGGAGTCTCGCTTGTTTCCCTTTAATACACGCAATACATGTATCTTCTGTTATTTCCATCCCATCTAATCCATTGGCTAGACCTTCCATTAACAGTTGCATCCCTTTTCTGCCTAAATGTCCCAGGCGTTGATGCCAAATGTTTCCCAAACCAGTCGCAATCATAGCAGATTCCCCATTTACTTCTTTGGTATTTAACCTGTAAATTCCTCCAGTTTCTGTACCGGTTGCTATTACTTTGCCTGACTTGTCAATTATGTTGCATCCTGTTTTGTTAAAAATAACATTATAGTCATTACGAACTATTTTGCTGATTGAAAGGAGGTTTACTGCAAGATCAGGTACGTGTAGTACATTTTTCGCGACAATGACATCTTCATCGTTTTCTGAGGTATGAATAAATACTTCCCCTTTGCTTTCGGAAGGTAATTTTGACTTATTAGCTGCTATCACTTCAGTTCTGGTATGCAATTGTGCTTTTTCTATTAGTTCAGCATGCGGTGTCATGTGAGATGAAGCGCATGAATCTAAATACCAGCTTTGGTCTTCTTTTAACTCAACAGAACTGTACAGAGCAAAAATATGACTTTTGTTTACTCTTAGGATTGTTTTCCCCTTCTTGTTTATTCGACTATTAAAAAATAACGCTTATTTTCCCCAAATACACCATGCGTGCAATACATCATTAGAAAGCTAAAAATATGCTCTTTTCAGTAAAATCATAATCTACTATAGTTTGTATTTAAAAAAATACAAGTTTGTGTTGTAGCTCAAAAATCATCAAATATTTTTAAAATGTTTCAACGGCAGTATATTCTACTTAAAAAAGTGCCTGTAGAATGTATTAACCCCATTTCTCTAATTTCAAATAATAATAATCCCCTTTTGGCTATAACTTAAAAACAAAAGAAGATAGAGGTTTGGTGTTTGCGGGATTGTGTTAGTCTCGAAAAAAGAGACCGGGACATGGCACCTACTTTTTTCGTATCTCTTATAGTTTCTGAGATAGCCTATAATAACACCCAAATTTGCCCACCCTGTACACACGAATAACAAATCCGGCCACACCAAAAACCGATTTTCTTTGATGTACCGCTTTCAAAGCGAACGCATGCGAAGGCGAACCAAACGTTTGATTCGCCTGTGTATTAACGTACACATTGGTCGAATTCGCTTTCGGTGTTCGGCATTCGTTCGCTTGATGTGTATGCACCTTTATAGTTTCTAACATAGCCTATAATAACACCCAAATTTGCCCACCCTGTACAAGAGGAAGAACCTTTTTATGTTATTTTTATTTTATTGCATGTGTTTATTACGTTGTACATAACAACTGTAACCACATTCATATTTTTATATCGACTAAAGCGTCATTTACAAGAGACACATGTTTACATCTCAGCAAATTTTGTGTGCAAGTTCTCTCAGCAAGCGCTCTATAGAGAGAACTTGCGGCAAGTGCTTGCTGTGTGTACACAGTGTGAAAATTTTCTGCAAGTACTTTAGGGACAGTAAGTGACTGTATGCGCGTATGTGTACGATATAGTATATTCTAATGTTATAAAATGTCTCACCGCAGAAAGAGAGCTTAAATGAATTAAGAAGTGAAGATCCAGCAACATTCAAAAACTTTCTATGTATGTCAGAAACCGACTTTAACTTTTTACTTCAACTAATTTCGGATAAAATAGCAAAATTAGACACAAACATGATACAATTGTATCAAATTTATCCGCTATAAATTTTATTGCGTTTTGTTTCCTATCTCTATCCCTGTATATCTTTGATTTTATTTGCCATAATTCGGGAAACTCTTCAAAAACACCTATTAAAGTCAAAGTTTCCTCTTTTGACCAAACGCCTTTGAGCTTCATTTTAAAATCTCCTGCTCACTTCCACTATTCACTCGCACGAAAACTTCCAACCAGACGAAAATAAATTCTAACTTCCTAGACAGCTCTCCCAAGTTGTTTACACACGCAAGCGATTTATATCGCGATTTCTTGCCGCTACTTCAGCGACTTGCTCTGTGAGAACTCTCAGAGAGTGTTTACACGTACAATTTTTTTGTGGAAGTGCTATCAGACACAAGCTTGCGATAGTTTTACTTGCTCGTGTAAACTACGCTTAACTTGATAAACAAAATTTAACACCTCCAATACGTGGGATACGCTAATAAAGAATTATTTAACAACAAAATTAACGTTGAAAATTCAGGTTATGTAAAACATCATTTTTTGACGTTTAAGGTTGAAATTCAATACTTAATCATCACAATTTACAACTTTCCATTTATCTTGAATGTGCACGACTAAGTACGATTTTGATTACGATGTAATTATCATCGGAGGTGGAATCGCCGGTTTATCTGCAGCTCTCAACATCATCGAAAGGGATCAAATGTTGTCGGTTTTAATTTTAGAAGCAACAGGTATTCTTAAAACAACCCACAGTCATTGTAAAAAATGGAATTTTTAGATTCAATCGGAGGCAGAGCAAAACCAATTCCAATAGAATGCAAATCGAATGTCTCGACATTCGATTCCGGTGGTCATTTTGTATCGAGACGACAAACTCATTTGATGAATTTACTGAAACGACTGGATATGGAAGTTGTTGATTATAATTTTTATGGGGATTCGTTAACTGAGATTGACACAGACCGTGTTTTAAAATCGCAGCGTAGTTTTTTGATGGTAGGAAGCGATAACGAAAAGGACGAGTTGGTTTGTTTTTATAAAAAGTTGGGGGACTTGTGTAAAAATGTTTCGATGGAAAATCCAATGGGTTCTGTTGAGAGTGAACGTTTAGATTCGATTTCGATGGAGGAGTTTATTTTAAACGAGTTAGATAGCGAAGTTACGAGGCAGCATTTTAGAAACATTGTTAGAACAACTTGCGGTTTGATTTTTAATAAATCTCGTTTCACTTAATTAATAATTTCTTTTAGGATCAGAACCTGTTGATGTAACGCCTTTATTTTATTTGGCTTATTGTAACAGCGCCGAAGGAGTTTTGGGGGCTCATTTAAGGGTGGTTAATGGAGGGAGACAATCTTATGTTAATGTATGAAGTAGTTAAATAATTATTCTTGAAGTACAATTTATGTTTTAGGGTGGGATTCATTATTTAATTGAAAAAATGGTTGAAATAATCGGTGAAAATCGGATTATAATTAACAACCCAGTTCTAGAAATAACCCGTTCGGACCAGGAGGTTATAATTTGCGCCATAAAAAAGACTTTAAGATGCCGTTGTTGCATCATATCAGTCCCCCCCTCAAAACTCTTAGAAATCAAATTTAAACCCCCCCTAAACCCGGGAAAACTTAAAGTCTTACGAGAAATGCAAGGAAAAACTTGGATACGTTTCATCGCAACATACAAAGAACCGTTCTGGGAAAAAAAAGAACTAAACGGAGACGTTTTTATAAACACAAAACGAGCTGTTAAAATCGTATTAAACGTTTCAGTCCCAAATTGTCACGTTTTAACAGGTTTGGTGGACGTTCAACAATTTCAAGAAGATTTTAGCAATCATGATTTAGAAGTTTTGCAACAACTTTCTGAATATTTTGGGGAGGAAGCTTTAGACCCTTTGGATTATATCGAAAGATCTTGGCCTGAATCATCACAGGAATCAGCAATGTGTTGTAATCCATCTAAATTAGGTATCATGAAAGATTTTCACGAAATACGAAGACCCATCGGAAGGTGAGAAAGCAATTCTTTTTGAAGCTTAATCAAAAAAAAAAATAGGAAACCATCAGGTTATTTTTTGCCGGATCGGAAACGGCTACTTATTGGTACGGTCACATCAGTGGAGCAATTCAAACGGGGTTAAGAGCCGCTATGGAGGTTTTATTTGAAATTCGACCCCAAGTTTTATGTTATGAAGATATTGCCGAGTTAATGTAGGTTTAATTCCTTTAAGTTTATTATCTTAATTTCTTTTTAAATTTAAGACCTCGAAGAAAAATGGTTTCGTATTATAAGGAAGCAATGGAAATGAAAGTTCCCGCCAAGATTATTAACTTTGGCTGGTTAGAAAGGACGGCAACTGGAATCATTGGAACAACTGGGGCTAAATGTATTTCGACTGCTTGCAATCATTTTTTTGTATGCGACCCAAACGATACAAAAGTTAGATCGAATTCAAATAAGCATTAAGAATAAATAATTTGTTGCATGTTTATCTCTTATTATAATCGTATTGAAGTTAATGGAACGGGTACATTTCGACTCCTGTGTTAAATTTTTTTAATCTTTGGCTGTAATGTTACGATTTAAACTTTTCTACTTATTTCTTATATGAATCGTTCATGAAGGTCAATTAGATGTCGATGAAGGTGAGTTCAAGGAGATGTTCTCGCATTTTTGGATGTGGTTGAGGATGAATATGAGTTTAAGAACATTTTCTTATTTTAAAAATTTTATTAAAACATTTGTTTATTGAATCTATGAATTTGCTTATTTATTGTTACCACTCTATATACGGTGTAACAGCAAACTTTGGACAACAAACATGTGTAGAATAGAAACATTCTGGTCCTTCAAATTCATGTGTTAACCTGCATTTATAATGTGGGACACATTTGCAGTCGTACTCTTGTGCTTGAAACATTTGGATTAAAATAATAACTGAGATGATCATTAAAGCGAAACACTTCATGTTCAACGTTTAGTTTTTTCTTAATAAATCAATATCTGGAAATACAAATTATATTAACGTAATTTAATGTAGTTAATAAATAAAAAAACTCACCCGATTAAAATATAAAATTGGAGAGTGTTTTTAATGTGGAGATTCGGATGAGAAGTGCTGATGACTGGCTGAGTCGGGTGTTATTTAAAGTACATATTTATGCAGATTTTAAAAACCGCTAAACACAGAAAAAAATATTAAATATTAATGAACGTCATATATTCAATTTAATAAATAGGAAAAAAATATATTACCATAAAAAATAGCAAGATGACATTCTGCTTTTGATGCATTTATGCTTTAATTATAACATTAATCAATATCACTTTTTACATTGATTATTCTACCTGGTAAAGATGCTAATCGTTCTGGAAAACCCATCTAAGAATTAAATAATGATGAAATGATTAAAATTTACATCTTAATTTGCTTTTTCGGATGGTGCTTATTAACAATCGTATTATTTACGGTTGAATTCCGTTAAGTATTATTGACCATTGATGTTTTCTATTGCACAGGTGTATCTGAATGACTGCAACAAACTTGAAGGGGTGATTCTTTAGTGAATTTTAAGGGTACTTTAATATATGAACCATGGGAGACTTCGGCTCCCCTAAGGAGCTACACCCCTCCAAAAACGGCGGAAAATTTTGGTTTAATTTTCTCAAAAACCATAAACGTTAGGAAAATGAAATTTAGGGAATATGTTTAACTCATAATAGGGCACGTTTTGACCCTATTTGTACTTTTAACCTACCCTTCTAAACTACTAAATGTAGCCACCCCCATTCAATTTATGCTTAGATTTTTTTTATGAAGATGATAAATACATTGGAAAAATTTCAGTTAGATAGATAAAACTATTCTAAAACTTTTTTGTCTGTCTGATGTTCTTCGAAAATTTAATAAGTTCTGAGAAAAAAAAAATTAACACTAACTGTTAAGCTGTAGGGTTGTCAATCGAAAGTTGGAATGAATTTTTAATGAAAAAATCTTAGTAGGCTTTGTAGTCTTTGTCATAAATATTTTTGACGTTTAAATGTCAGTGGTTCTTACTATTATTATTGTTTTATTTAAAATTTGGAAACGTCGAGTGAACGAGCGTAAATGCGATAGAACTTTATTTAACAATTAATTTGAAAAACAATAATAATAGTAAGAAAAAACTGACATTTAAACGTCAAAAATATTTCTGACAAAGATTGCAAAGCCTACTAAGATTTTTTCATTAATAATTCATTCCAACTTTCGATTAACAACCCTACAGCTTAACAGTTAGTGTTTGCTTAATTATTTTTTTTCTCAGAAATTATTAA